TCATCACAAATTCTGTTTATCTATTTATGAATGAAGAAAAATGTCTTCTGGAGCTCGACATGACTCGGGTGGGCTTACTCGGGGCGCATTAAGTACTGCATAGGTGTCTTTGACATGTGGGATTTGAGTTGGTATCCCGGGTGGACTTCAGGTGGAAAACATCTTCTTCTTCTTTTTTCCCTGCCTTTTCACTTGTTTAGTTATGGGCATGTGGATGATGCTGAGAGGAGCTTGTTATGGGGTGATCTGGTGGCAGTTACAGGCTAATGCGAGTGTACATGACGTACTGGGAGATTTGAATGTGGTGAGTTTTGGGGGAGAGAGGCTGGGATGTCAAAGATTTTTGAGGCAACGCGGGAGTTCTTAAATTTGTCATTTCATGGATGATATGGATTTTATTTTCAGTAAATATATCGATTTGATATCTTGCCACTGGGAGGAGGTAGTTTTACACGTTTAAGTGGTAAAGAGGTGCCTCTAAGGATGGGAGGATATTTTTATATTGGATTGTGGAAGGCTCAGGGTGGGGAAAGGTTCTTTATGGTTAAAAAATATGTGGCTTAGAGGAGAGGGTTTTTCTGACATGGAGAGCTGATGTTGACAATGGTATAGAGTGGAGGGATTTCTAGAGTTTGTTTCAGTGTGGAAGTTCTGATTGCATGACCCTCAAAAAGTGGAATAAGTGCTGAAATTTTAGGGGTCAAGCTGGCCCAAGTGCTGCAAGAAAATGAGAAACTGGTTGAGGAGAAGCAAGGCATTCTCACAGAGGATGAAAGGGCCAAGAGAGATGAAAAGAAAGGGAATTAGGGGGGTTGGTGCTTTTAGAACAGTTAAGTTGGTTAAATTGATTTAGCTTGCAGTTGATTGGATGGAAGGGGGAGGAAGTGAAGAGACAAGGGATGGAACAAAGTTTTTATTGTTTGATAGAGGGGAAGGTATGAGAGGACGGGAGTCTTTTGTTGTCTCGAAGGAAAATGAAGATCAAAAGGATCTTTTGTTGCTTGTTTTGCCTCCTTCATAAATTGGTCTACTCTTCTATCGTTTAGAATATAATGCCATAATTTCTGCCCTTTACACCAAAAGGAGCCCAACCAATAATTTTTTTTCTCAATCTTATGCAACAGAATTTGGCAGTTCCGAAAAGTTTTTACTGCTATAAGTACTTGATTCTGAAATTGAATATAAATGATAGGTTGATGCATTGAATTTGCTATATATATATTTTTTTCCTAGTTGGGTACTCACACACACATGCCTCCACGGAGGCTCGAACCCCTGACCTCTCTTTGAGAAGTAGGGGCTTGGTACCGCTAGGCCACTGGCAATTTGCTATATTTATAGTTATTAATCATTGGTGGCTAGTTTGTGGTAAGGTGGTAGAAGTGTTGCAAATAAGGTTTTCTCTTTTTTCTCTTCTCATCACATATTGGAAACAGTCTAACCTTTGTCGTACCATAAAGTTTTTATTGGTAGTATATTTATCAATGCGATATTATAATGGCATGTTGTGAAAGCATATCTTATTCATATCATAATTTATGTTTTTCGGAGAAAAAAATATTTTAAGGAAAATAAAAGGATACCAAGGCAAGGAAGGATGGAAAATTCTTCATGCTCAGATGAAAATGAAAATGAAGAAATATTTTTCTGTATGTGAGATAGAATAAAGGTACTTCTGATGAAAAAAGCTTGCCATCAATATGTTTGTCATAAAGATGATAATAATTTGTATATGGGTATTGGTAGATGTTCCGAGAGCTAACTACACAAACAGGCATACAAATTGTGTAAAGTTAGTACCATAGAGCCGTGTTACCTGGGCTCGGCTATATGTGTCGGACATGGGTATGTATCCATGCATCGAATGTGTCATATCTCTAAACAAAAGGATACATGAACACTGCTAAATATTCATTTTATTTATTTATTTATTTTATAGAGTATAGTAATGTTTTTATCTAATATAGTGTTCAATATAGGCATTTAACTAAATTTAAAGTAATAGTATAATATAATTGAATGATTGGATATGCTTTTTAAGTACATGTGCACCCAAAAGTGTCGGACACATCCCATACCCATGTCCGAGCAATATGTGTCCGACATAGATACTTCACTACTTTTGAAGAGTGCATGTAACTTAACCTTGGAGACGAGAAAAGTGCAAAATTTCTGAGAAGCAGTTGGTAAAATATGCTTGATTATTTATATATATATAATGTCTCTCTCTTTTTTTGAGAGAGTCTTTCCTCATCTAATAATTTTTTATCCAAAGCACAGAAAAACTATCTGCTTGTTTATATTAACTTCAGTCTAGGTGGATTACTTTGGAAAGGAGAGAGGTTGAATAATATAGAAAGAGAAGGATATAGCATAGCACGCCTTTGGGTACCGTAAAATATATGTTCTGCGAGGGCCACTATTTATTTACAAACTATACTATATGGTTTCTGAAAAGTTGCAACCTTTTGTTATGGAGTTGAGATCTCACTATTGCGTAGGATTTTCAATTACAAAACTTTTCATGTAATTCGTTCTCTTTCTTTTCCCTTTCTTGTGATATTGAAATATGATGAAGAATGATGATGATGATGAGTAAATTGCAGGTACAAGGGACCCTTTCTGTTGGATGCAATAGATTCTCTCCAACTTCCGGCAAGAGATTATTCAAAGCCTCTACTAATGCCCCTATGTGATGTTATCAAATCTCAGTCACTTGGGCAGGTTTCTGCATGTGGGAAAGTGTGTAGGTTGGGGCACTTCGAAGTGGATATAAGGTATGTAATCAGCTGGCTGTTTTAGTGGCCAGTTAGTGTTTTTCGAAAATATAATTTATTAAATCAGAGTAGGAAGTAGGTTTCTGATGGCATGGATTTTTAATTGATTTCTCCTGAACATATGCCATATCCATGGGAGGAATACATAGAATTTTGTCTTTTTTTAATTTGTCTGTAAGAATGGTGACAGGTTGGGCCTTTTCTGGTAACCTTCTCTGTCCTTGGATGGAGATACTACATATCTATTGGTAGGACTGGGGCTGGGGTGGTAATGGAGTTTCCTACTGCTTTTGCTTTGTGGCAGGGATGGGTTTTGCTAGCCTGTATGTACAATAAGGCATGGTGCAGGGGCTGGGATGATAATAATAGCAAAATCTGCTGGAATGATAATCATTACAAAAGCTTCAAGAATATAAGTGGCTTCAATCCACTGAACTGTCTATTTGAATTAAAAGATTTATTTATTTTCAACATACTAAAATAATGCATGCTTTCTGCACAATGTGTCACAATGAAAATGAAATTCCTGTGATCTAAATTGCAGCCAGCTGTAGTAAAAGGAAATTATTTGCATTTAAAGGTGTTTTAAGCGCATCAAACATTGTCCCTCATGTACTGAAACTGGATTAAAGAAAGCAGGGAAATGCTACTTGTAAGGAAGCCCCTTGTGTCTCCATATGTGTGTGCATGCCCTATTAACGATTCGTGTCCTGACAAGCCTCTGCCCTGACCTTGTTATTTTGGCGGGCTTGCCTTGTACTGGAGCGAGGTTTCAGGATGGATCTCCCTCCCAAGGGTTGGGGTGAGTATATCCACCCATAATTCAAACTCATTACCATTTTTTTTTTTTTTTTTTGATAAGTAAAAATATATTAGAAAGCGAAAAAAAGTCGCATCTCCATCGGTGCCATCCTGCACGGTGCCTTAGCAATAGGTGCAGTGCCTGGAGCTAGGTCAAGAAATGGTGGGGGCACAGGGATCTTTGAATTTTGGAGGAGTGTTACTTCTCTTGAGAAATGAAGATTCCTGTGGATGTTTGATGTATTTGAAGCCATGTGACATGATTGTTTAAACTGATTACTACGGACTGTCACAACCCTAGCGTACAATAGCGCTAACACCATGCAGTGTAGAAATATTAGGTGGCTCATTCCGATTTAATTCGAGAATGATTGAATGATGATTGTTGTGTAATCTAAATTGCTTGAAAGTAAATACTAGACTAGAAATATCTCAAACCCATTTATACTACCATAGTGCCATTATTATCTGAACTAATATTTAACGGAACTGAGTGAGTTCTAATGCTTCTTAAGAATGCTAACCACTTTAACAGAACATTTTATCTCATTGGGTCAGAGTAGGCATTCTGCATCGCGTGTGACGAGGCCTATCATTTTATAACATTCACCAGGTGGGTTAAATCCTAAGGAAATGACTTTAACACCCCTCTCCTTTGACTTCTATCTGGTTTCTATAATGGTTCTTTCAGAATAGAAATGACGTTTCAAAAAAGCAGTTAATGAAATTGATTATTAAGTTTTTTCCCTGATAGAATGAATGAAATTGGATGTTGCTGTGTGTTTTCCTATCATGACCTTGATTAAGCAGTAACTATGGAATGCAAATCAAATTGCATTTTCCTATCATATACCTTGATTAATTCCACCTTTGAGTCTGGATTTATGTAATATATAGACTAGGGATATGAATTGCTTAAGTGGAGGAGTTGTTTTTTTTTTTTTTTGGTTTTCCTTTTTCTTTGGTAAAAGGGCAAGATTAAGTGGAGTTGTTAAATCTACTACTATAACAGTATTTCTTCATGTATGTGGGTGATAGGTTCTAGTTATGCCATCAGGAGGCATGTGCATGGTGTGCTCCTTGGAACGGCCTCAGGCTTGTGCCATTGCGAGAGCCCAAGACAATGTGGCTGTCAGTCTACAAGGTATTGATGGAAGTCATGTGGTGGCTGGGGTGTATTATGCCACCCAGATTTTCCAGTTTCATTAGCTAACCATTTGGAGCTGAAGATTCTTGTCTTAGACATTACAAACCCACAATCCTAATTGTCTCCTAGGTAGTGTCATTTGTAGATTAAGTCAATCTTCATTGCTATACTTTTTGTTACGGAGATATACTTTTTGTCATTTGTAGATTAAATCAAGTCATACCTCAAGTCGCGAACAAATCCGGGTACTTGGAGTGAACCTCCTCCTCCCGTTCTCAGGTAGCCTCCTCAACTCTGTGATGCCTCCATAAAACCTTGACCAATGGAATGGTTTTGTTTCTCAACACTTGCTCCCTAGTGTCGAGAATCTGTACTGGCCCCTCCTCGTAAGTTGCATTCTCATCAACCTCAATGTCGGCCCATCTCAACGTGTGTGACGTATCTAGCTCATACTTCCTCATAGAAACATGGAATACATTGTGAACCTTATCTAAATGTGGGGGTAACGCCAAGCGATACGCAACCTCACCAACGCAATCCAAGATCTCGAATGGCCCAATGAACCCAGGAGACAACTTTCCACTTCGCTCAAAACGCATTAATCCCTTGTGTGGAGCGATCTTGAGAAAAACATGGTCTCCCACCTCGAAGGACAAAGGTCTCCTCCTCTTGTCAGCATAGCTTTTCTACCTACTTTGAGCCGTGACCAACTGCTGTTGAATCAACTTGATTTTCTCTGTGGTCTCAATAACAATGTCGGGACCCAAGGCAGCTGTCTCTCCCACCTCGGCCCAACAAACTGGAGATCTACAAGGTCTGCCATATAATGCCTCGAAAGGTGCCATCTCAATGTTGGCCTGATAATTGATATTGTAGGCAAACTCCACCAAAGGCAAGTGATCTTCCCAACTGCCTCCAAAATCTAAGATGTAAGTTCATAGCATATCCTCCAATGTCTGAATGGTACGTTCTAACCGACCATCAGTCTGAGGATGGAATGCTATGTTAAAATGAAGCCTTGTGTCAAGAGCCTCCTGAAAACCCTGCCAAAAATGTGAAGTGAACCATGGATCCCTGTCCGAAACAATAGACACGAGCTTCTCTGCATCATCAGATACTTGCATAGACAAAAAGTGAGCTGTCTTTGTCAACCTGTCGACTATGACCCAAATGGCGTCATTCCCCTTCTTTGACCTCGGAAGTCCCGTCAGAAAATCCATGGTAATGTGATCCCATTTTCACTCCGCTACTGGCAATGGTTGCAACAAACCCGTTGGCCTCTGATGCTCAGCCTTCACTTGTTGACAAGTAAGGCACTTGGCCACAAACTGTGCAACATCCCGTTTCATACCCTTCCACCAAAACTAACGTCTTTATGATAAATTATACCAAAGAGGTGACAAAAAAAAAGTTATTTACCCAACAAAAAAAATCTTTATCATATTTCTATTTTATTTTATTTTCTTATACTATTAGCTCCATACAATTTTTATTTTATTTTATTTCTTTAATAGGGGCCCAAAGAAATATTAGCTCCTATTTTCTTTATGATAAATTATAAAGAAACTTTATCATATTTCTTTATGATAAATTATACCAAAGAGGTGACAAAAAAAAGTTATTTTCCCAAAAAAAAAAACATGAAAGTTAAAGAGGCCCAAAACCATTCTTCAGAGAAATAACAAAATTCACACGGCGTAATAGGCTTTTACAGTTACACTGTAACAAACCATAATTGTCAACCCAGTAACATATTATGATTCACTCTCAAAAAAATCTCCTCAAATCTGGCGGAACCTGAAAGAGTAGAATATTTTCATGTAACAATGGATGGTCATGAGAATAGAATATTATCATGTGACAATCAGCATTTATGGATCTTACAGTTGGATAACTTGAGTTATTCCTATAAGTGAGTAGTTTTTCTTATAACAAGTAGATCATTAATGAAGCATAGCATATCAGATTGCCAAACCAAATCTTCACTCAATAAACCAAACTAGGAAAGGGAAGTGCAGAGCATGCGTTCCCAAAAAATAAAAATAAAAATAAAAATTGGATCATTAAAGTTGGTGTCGTGGAATGAAAGTGTAATGTCCTGTGACGTGTGTAGAAACGAAAAAATTGTATGGTGTCAAATTATGATTTGGGCCTACTTTCAATTTAGCCCACCATAAAATATGGGCAGATGGTTTAGACCAAATTGCCTAACAAACCCAACCCAACTTGAATGTGGGTCTAATTAAACTACCCAACCCCACTTAAATAATGGGTCAAAAGATATTTGTCATTCAAAAAGTGATAGTTATCAAAAGTAACATAAATTACAATTCTACCCCTCCATTGAGTCTATAAACAGAGGTAGAGGGGTAGAGAAGAATGGGAGACCAGAATGGGGGTGCCCAGTGGCATTTTCGTAAATATGGCGAAAAAGTGAAGCTGGAGTTTTGGCTCGGGATCTTTATGGGAGGAATCTTGAGTCCATAGAAGATGGTTGGCGCAGACGGCACTAGATTTGGATGTCGTGCACTTTGAGACATTTATATGTGGGTACAGATTAGTGGGCTTGGCACGGGCAAAGTTCACAAGGTTGGCTTAAATGTTGCTTAAAACATGGACCACACAAGTCATGGACGTGTGGCATAGTCAAGTCAGGGACATAGGCTCAAGGCAATGGGCGCAGGCAAGGCTCAGCGTGCAAGGTTGGCTCAGGGGACTCAGACATGGTTTATGGTTACAGAAGATGGCTAAGTGGGCTCAGGTGGTTGGGGGAAGTTACACTTCCCACTAAGTAGGCTTAGTTAGTTGGGGGAAGTTACTAACACTTCCCATTATGTGGGCTCAGTTGGTTGGGGGAAGTTACTAGCACTTCCCACTCATGTGGGGAGTGGGGGTGTGCTGAATAACTTCCCATCCATGTGGCACAGATTTAAGAGGATAACACACAGGCGGTTGGAGGTGGTTTCTTCCACTATGCTAAGTGCAACTTCCTGTGGACATGTGGCATGAGCAGAGCATGCCAACAAGCTAGTAGTTGGGCTTGTCAACTACATATGTAGTGTTGGCACACTTAGTGGGTACCAACATGACCCTAGGTGGATGGGGGTGTCACCCACCACTTTAGTGGGTAGTTGTGGGTGGATGGGGGTGTCATCCACCACTTTAGTGGGCAGTTTTGGTAGTTGGCCTATCTATTGCTAATGTGGGTTCTGTAGAGAGGGCAGATTGAGAGTGAGACACAGAGTTGTGTTGTAAGAGACTTTTGTATGCTTCTGCAGGTTGAGGCCTTTCCTTGTACTGTTTTGTGAATAATAGTAAAAGGTTGGAAGCCTTGTGCTTCTGTAAATTCGTGGGTGTTATTGCCTTTACATTCTTACAACTATACTTGTGTGTGAGAGTGTTTTACTTGCTGTGTGTTCTAGGTAGCAAGTGTGAGTTGACTGAGCTAAGTTAGAAATTCAGAGAAAAGTGTTTCATATTTCTGGCTTAGTGCCATCACAGGCCACTAGATTCGTGTTCAGAATTTACCCCTGTGACAATTGGTATCAGAGCCCAGAGTTGGGTTTGTAACGACCCGGTCATTTGCCTTCTTTTCTTTTTACCTGAAATTTTACGAATTATTTTTTTTCGTTTAATTTTCCTTTCTGAGCTCTGTTTCGTGTCGCTTAGTGTCATCTCCAGTGCTGGGAATTGGTTTATGAGACTCTTTTATGTGAACTGACAACTTCTTTTGAGGACCGAATCATTTTCGCATTTTTCGTTTTTGGACCCTATGCGCTATTTCATTTTTTCCTTATTCTGTCATTTTCCCTATTTCGTCTTATCTTCGTTTGTCAGTTTTTGGCACAACCTCACTTTTCATGCTCGAAGTTGGTTTTTGACTTCACGTGCCTTCATCTTGAGTGGTTTCTTCGAAATACGTATCTTTACTTTTGCAAGAAAGTACTCTGGTTGCTCTCGGTGTCCATAGGGGCATGGATGCACAATTCTTTAGAATCTTTTTCATTTCTTGGGGTGTTTTTCGTAAATATCTTTTGTAGATATTTTATTTCAGGGGCATCTAAGAAAATATCTTTTGGAAGATATTTTCATTCTGGGGCAGTTTCGCAGTTGACCCTTTTTGTAGGGGCCATTGTGCAATTAACGAAAGTTATTGCAAAATGTCTCGTCTGGGGCCTGGATCCTCGTACGGGATTCATTTTCACATTTCGTCGAGTCATGAACTCTTAGGATTTCCTTCTGGTCATTTTTCTCTAGTTTCAGAGTTTCTGGACCCGGTTGCCGCCGAACTTGTTCGGGGCATAACTTTCTGCTCGGGTATCAGTTTTTGACGCTGTTTCTTCTGTTATTCATATTTTCTTATTTTAAATCTTTTTTGTTCATGGAGTTTTTCCGTTTGAGCGCGTTTGCTCAAAATCCACTTTTCCAGACCCGGCAGGGCCCTTTTGGGGCACTTTTTGAGATTTCTATAAATAGGTTGCCCTTATTTTTAAAATCAGATTTTTAGACCTTCTTCCTCCTCTTGGCTGGCAGCCATGGGAGCCCAAGGGGCTGCCTTCACTCTTTCTTCTCCTCCGCTTGATTTCCTTGGTAGAAATCCTTCGGCCTTAGCATTTGTTGTTCGCATCGTCGTGCTCTACCATTACCCCTTATTAGAAACCATTTTTGGCCAAGTTTTGAGTTTGGGTTTGAGGCCAAGTTTGGATTTTCATAGGGCTTCTTGGGGATTCATATAAATCGTATTGTCCCCGACAAAACCCTTCGATTTCGGCGGATTCGGAACACTTTTTTTTCGGTGGGCCTTTGAGGTTTTCATCTCAAATTGAGGTAGGAGGTATTATAGGTTTAATTCTTGTTATATAACATGCTTGTGATGCTTATACTACTTGTTTGCATGATTAAATATAAAATCTAGAAATTTTATTATTTATTTTTCTTGTACGGGATCTAATTTTCCCGGTTGCTCATGACTTAATTTAAACATGTAGCATGATTTTATATTGCCCCTTGATATGCTCATTGTCGTGTATTAAAATTGGAACATTTGAGTAAGTATTAAAGATTTTATTTAAAATTTATCTTAGGTGAAAGATTAATTCACATGGCCTTAACTAGCTTGAAATTAATATGTGTTAGCATATTATATTAGGCCTTAGCATGCTCTTCAACGTAGTTGAATTTGAAAGTAATTGGAGGTGTTTTGAAAATTAGTAATTTGATTAATTAATTTGTCCCGAGTGCACTATTCACTCCATTTGAATTCCGACTTGATATTCTTGATCTACATGCCATATAGCTTCACATATATTTGATTTAGAATATTCGGTGAGGTTTTCAAACCTTTCATTTAATTAATTTCCTTATTTAAGATTTAATCCTCATGGTGATATACAACTTGAAATTGAATTGTGGCATGGTAGAAAATTAAGCTTTGGTGTGGTTGTTCACATATATTAAATTGGGATTAATTGCATAAAAATTGCAACCTTTATTTTATATTTAACTTTAGTGAAAGTTTAATTTACATAGATGTAACTTGCATGAAATAAGCTTGTAATATGATATTACATTAGTCCTTGGCATGTTTTCTAAGATATGT